TATATATATATATATATATATATACTGTAATAGATACACCATACACCTCCCAACTCCCACTTTCCCTGCAATATATAATGCAGTATATAGCTTTTAGCCGTTCGTTGGCCTTTCCGTTGTCCTCGCTTATGCTATATATCTATCTGTAAATAAATTCATTGTGTGTGCCGATAAGTAGACAAGAGCCAGGAGTCACCCCAACATTATACGTATACTGGGATTGTTTTTTATAAATAAATCCGAGGATTTGTGAATCACGTTAACAGCCAATGTTTGAATAAAGAATTTTGTATTTCTCGTTAAACAATGAAAAATAAAAAAAAAAATAAAAAAAACTACATTTGCAAAAAGCAGGTGTCCAATAAACACATTTTGCAATCCATGACTCGGCTTAAACATGTTTTGCATACTTCGCACACGCGCTCGGCACACACGATCTCTTGTTTCGAGCACTGGATAGCGCGGTCCGTTGGAAATAGATCGTGACGCGACCGACTGGTATTTTTAACCACCCGCGGAGTCGTGCCGATGATTTCGAGCAAATAACAAAAATTTACATTTTTTCCAGCTGCCCATTGCCATATCGAGTGGCGACTTCCGATAAAACAAAAGCGCGCGACTTTGTACTCGTCTATTATATCAGTTACACTCGAGTACATAATATGAATTATCTCGCAAATTCAAAACTCGTTAAGGAAAATTGGAATTTTTACTTTTAATGTGTGTTATCACGCTCCAGAGCTCACTCGTTGTGACTCGTGCAAAGAGAGAGAGAGATATATTATACAAATACATACATGTAGACTTCCTGCACAGATTTGCTTGACCAGCGCGTGTATATGGCATAAAGTAAAGTGGCCGGAAGAGGAGCTGCTTTAGGATTCTGATGGCGGCATCGGTGGCGCATACGCGTTTATAATGTTGTATTGTGTATATATGTACCTATATTGTCGATGAGACTCTCTCGATTTTCAATACAATACCTCATGAGTACTGGGTCCCACCTCGACTGCGTTAGGGTGACACGGGCAGCTGTTTGTAGCTCTGGAAAAAAAACAAAAAAAAAAAAAAAAACGTGGATGTAATGTGAAGAAGAGATGAGAGTGTAAACCCACGTAGGGACGTCGATTTCTATACATCCCATTTTTTCATTGTTAACTAATACGTACAACCATGACAGCTTTTATAAGGGCTTTAATTTCTTCATATCCTATGTAAGTACCTTGCTAAGTATATACTATTGTCGCTCCGAGTTCGATGGAGTTTATTTATTCCCGAGGAGACTATTCTTCGTGACACTTCGTACACGAGGTATGTTCGGTTATTTGTTGGAGAATCGCGTGAAAATGAGGAAAGAACAACTTATAAGCCAACGGAATTCACCGGGTCTTACATTCTACAAGGTTGATGGTTGACCTTCGGCTAATTATGTGGAGTGGAAAATCAAAATGCTTCTCATAAATTTTTTTTTTTTTTTTTCACTCGTCTTTGGTAAACAATGCTCATCGATCGAGTGATATTTTTGACCAAAATTTACCAAAAATTAAGAAAATGAAATCTTGGCTTCTACACTTTAATTAATCACATTAAATGCCTTTTTATCTGCAAACATTTGGAATATTTTTACTTAAAAAATGCACGGCATCAAAACATTTTGGTAAATAAATTATTTGGAATTATAAAGAATAGACAATTATAACTATGCTATATACCGTTCAATAAATTTATTCGTTTATTTACTCGTTTTATTAATGTTTCTTTTTTTTTTTTATACATTTCTTTTATAACTTATTTAAATTAATTATTCGCTTATTTCTATGTTTATCGTACATTTATTTATTAATTTGTTCCAAAAAATTACTCAAGTGTTAATTCACTCTTTTATTAAACTCATGTATGTACAGCGCATGCGCACTTATAATACCTGAATACCAGAACAAAACAACTCTCACGTTTGACGTTTTTCTCACTGTTTTCTCAAAATTTAACGTTTTGACCCTGTCTAATTTTTAAAGTAATAGATTCTTTATAATTAAAAGTATATGTACCAATTTAACTTCTGGGACCACAGCTTTTGATTAGAGTACAATAGTCAATTTAATTTCGGGTTCCGTAAGGTTACGTGTTAAAATGACAAATTTTTACAAGCGATTATCTCGGAAATGAATGCGTTGACCTACCTATTTCTTTTTCATAAAAAAATCTGGCCTACTTTATTTACATAATCTCTGAATTTCAGAGCTAGCCATCATTTAATTCAAAATCGTCTAAGCCTCCTTAAGCCCTCTTCTTATAACACCAAACCTAACCTAAAAAATATAAAAACCCGTATACTTCATACATCCATTCGCACACACAATAACAATAAAATATTAATATATGTAAACAAAGGACACGAATGATACTAAATTTATTATTTACTTCAGTGGTTTGCCCCCATCCAGTTGTTCCAGGTATCGAGGCGAACGAAGCGCCCAAAAAGAAGAGCTTCTTCAAGAACTTCTGGAAGCGCTCGCGACACTATTCTCTCGAAAACCAATAGCCCAGGTGCGCCAGGGTAGCCAATAACAACAGCAATCGCCAGCGACACGCTCATCAACGCACGGGTCTCGGGCACGGCCAGCCGCAGCAGCAGCTCGCCATCTCGGCCAACCCGTGCTGTTGCATCGTCCAGTAGAACAGAAAAAGAGAGAAAGAATATTGATGAAAAAAAGGCCATCGGAAAAAAAAACAACGCCTTAATCAGCTGCATTATGCGGTCCGTGCGTGCTTGCTCGTTTTTGAGGTTAGGTGGGCGCGCACCGCACATACACACCCACACACTCGAGTGCGCCCTCCTCCTTCGATGGAAACCCCGATCGATCGAGTCCTCTGGATAAGTATATCTGGCTTGACTTTTTCTTGCTTCTTTTTGTATAAGAATAGGGATGACTCTGGCGTAACGAGTTTTTTCTATTAACTTTTTATCAAGAGGGACACCCCGAACGTATAAAGAACTCCCCGTAAATACTACGATATGGTGCAAATTAATGATTTGGTGAATACTTGTACGCCAACTCGAGCAGTTTTTGATTATCTTTGAAGATTTTTGACATCTTGTCAACTGGATCGAGCATAGTCCGCGTTCGCTGTCCCTCTGTAATTATATATGCTCTGTAAGCCTAAGAAACACATTTTTATATTAAAAAAATACTCTGTGAGATTACCATTGGGGTTACCAATGGAAATTTTCAATCGTTTTGAGTAGACCGGCTATTTTGTAGGCGATTATCTGAGAGTGAAAATGAAAGAAAAAAAAAAAATAATTGATAAGATATTTAGGGTACGTGTACAAAGTTTAGTAGAGTGTATGATGAGCGTTCGAGTGGAGGTGTTTTTTACGTGTAATTCCGAGTCTAATGGGACAATCCGTTTGAGAAAAACTTTTTTCATTGCGAATCAAACATTGCGTAACTCGATGAATGTGTAAATAATATTTGTGTTTCGAGACATTGGAAGCGATAACTTCGAGTTCATTCCTATTCTTATAACGAGGAAAAAGCAACAAGCACAATAGGAAGCGAAGAACAAACCACCGAGTACAAGCACGCACTTTTGAAACGAAGGTGGTGAATTTGCAAAAAAGAAAAAAATTAAATAAAAAAAAAAAAAAACTAGATCAATCACCACTGGATTGGTAAGAGATAAGAAAGCATGAGAGAAAGGAAGAGAAATATTTTTTCCGGTCGCTGGACATTCACCGATGGATTATTGTCTACCCTGACGTCAAAACATGTAAGGCTTTTTTTATTCGTTTTTTCATTTTTGTAAACGAGCTTTTACAATTGTGCACATGAGAAAACGATGTAATAAATAATACGTAACGTAAAGTGTGGAGTCCCCGGCACAAGATCGCAATTTCACAGAAGAGGGGACGAGAGTAGGGTCGCGCGAGGGCTAGTGCCAATCAATTAATGTTTTCTCTTCTATACGGGCTTATTATCGTCTTTGCGTTTTTGGTTGATGTTATATTTATACGGAAGAGAGCTTTTTTATTTTTTGTGGTTCGGTGACGTACAGATATTTTTGTGTCGCCCCCTTTTTAAAATTAATTTTATCCATTCGATCGATTACCGATTAATTGTTTTATTCCTTCTTCAAATTATATTGTGATCAATATTTCATTTTACACCTCCACCTACACGATACCTTGGAGGACGAAATAAAGTTTTTATTTTTATATTTTTTAATTTTAATGGAAATAAAAAAACAAATATACAATCGTCGCCGTGATTTACGGCCTATATACGAAAATCGAATGAATTTTTTCGTGACTCTGTGTTTGTTCCTTTGAATGAATATATACTTATATTTAAATTAATTACAGAAAAAAAGGCGATGAAGCCATTTTTTATCACGTTTGAGGTGTTTTTTGTCTCAAACTTGGGGGTGCGAGTTTGTGTATAAGTCTCATAATGTTGAATAATTTTTCATACGTATCGTATATAACAAATATTATATTATTAAAAAAAAAAAATAAAAAAAAAGGAAAGAAGAACGAGCGATGGTAAAAAGAAAAGTGTATAGGGTATATGAAGGGGACACAGCAGAGCTAAGAGAATGTACAATCGGGCCGAATGTCCAGCTTCAGATCGCGAGTATTAAGCGCGCATATTGTGTATACCAATTTAATGGTATACGTGACAAATAGGAAAAAGAAATGAAGAAAAAAAAGAGTAAATTTTACAATTTGTAATGTTAAATGAAAGAAAGAAAAGATAGAGAGAAAAAAACACAAATTTTTTGCACGCAAGCATGAATGATACTCATTTTACATTATTTTGATGACGATGATAATGATAGTAATAACGATACCGTAAGCAAATGTTTTGAAGAAAAAAATATTTAAACGAAATCGATATCAGATAGAAAGAATGAAAAAAAAATTAATTAAGAAAATAAAGAGATGCTTTGTTGTCGTGTGATCAAGCTGGGCTAGGCTTGGGCTACCGAAGTATATTATTATTAT